TAGTTCATTTCAGCAATTTACTGAAAATTGGGAATGGTGTTTTTGGTGAGTGGGAATAAGTGTATGAATGAATAGTGAGGAAGTGGGAAGACAGATCAGGGAATACCTAAGTTGAGTGTGTTAAAAAGAGTTAAAAAGAAAAAAGTTTGTAATAATTTTAAGTTCAGAGTAATACTGTAGTTTTGTAATTTTAGAGTACTAATTCAATAGTACTTTATGTAAAGTTCTGAAATGCTTTGTTATGAAGGATTAAAACCACAACACATATTTAAAGTCATTAGATATTCAGCTAGAAAATATTCTAGACACTTAGCAGCAACATATACGTACTTATCCAGATTCAAATAATCTAAAAGGATCAAATGTCTAATAAAGTCGTTTTGTGGTAATGTACCAAGGGTTTTCCTATAACAACTCGAAAATCAAATTTTACTGCATGTTGTAATTTCAATTCATTGCTTTCTGGAGACCTAATTTGTAGAATGTTAAAAAACCAGGGAACTCTTTAATGGAGAGATGGCTTAGTAAATACTATCTACTTACAAGTTAAAACACTGCTCATACCGTATGTTCAAAAAAAAATATTGAAGTGACAGTGGTAAGCCCTTTTCACTTGTTCTTTTATTCTCAGTGCTTACAGTGACATGGGTTAAAATGACAGTATCTCAAATCACCATTTTCAGGTACGTGGTAAAAATCTTTCTACTGAAGTTGTAAACACAGACTTAAAGCAGAGTATTTACAAGGTATTTTAGGAAACAACCTTCTAATTCAAAGATGTTTTCGTTGAAATTTAGAAGGTAAATGCAGTTTGGCTTTATTTGTTTCATTATATATGTGGCCACGACTTCATAGGAAACAGAATTTATCTTTGATTTGCTTTCATACCACCTGACATATCATAGACTGTACTTTCTCCAACTGATTTTGTTCATATCTCTGTCAAACTATTTTTCTCAAAACTAAGGTATACAGGTTACTAAGCAAGTGAGGAAAAAATGTATTGTTTCCAATCTCCAAATGAAACATTCAAATTAATATATCAAAATACCAGTGTTTTTCTTTTTAATCTGTTAACTTTTTTTTTTCAGGACCAGCAATAAAACCAGAGCATCAGAATCTTACACCATAAGTCAACATGTGCTACACCTTCACAAGCAGTGATCAATACATTCTAGTAGGTATGTTATCAGTGTAATTATTTTTGCTGTACCCTTGCTTCTTTTACATATTTGTGTTTTACTTGTTAGGCATATAATGAATTTCTAAAACATGCATGGTCTATAGTCAGAAACACTAAGACAAAATAATAAATGCCCACCATCAAAGACCACAGTGCCTGATAGCCTTCTTCTGACAGAGACCCCCTGGGGCAGTGTCATTTTATAGAACCTTTTGGATAATCAACTAATATTGAGCAAACTGTTCTAGTCTTGTTCAGTATGTAAGTATTTAACATTTGTCCACATTGTAGCAATACTTTTAAAGATTCTACTTTTAAAGAAGGATAGCCTGTTCTCTAAACATATTGGGAAAATAACAATCTGGAGATCATCAAGTAAATTATTTTATTAGCCTGATATCCTCTCTATGGCAGGATCAGCGCACACGATAAATTGTAAAGAGCAGGGAGGTTCATGGGAGGAGAAAAGTGACATTGACTTGCTCTCTACCAGGCTACTTGGGTCCTGTTTCTCAAACCCCTTCTCTACAGAAGGGAGACAAATGCCAGCCAAATGACAGTTTCTGGCCCCACAAAAATAATGCAGGTGAAATGTGATTCACTAGGAAGGAATTGTGATTGTTATGATAAGATTATGTTTAAGTTTTATTAACATGCAACCCACAACTGGAAGGCTGGCTTTACCAAGCCTGAAAGGAAAAGCTTACAAAGTTGGAAATGAGATTAAAGATGGAGTTTAGAATTTGTAAATTGGCATCCAGGGTCCAAATCTATGGCTTGCTGTTAACGCATCTGGTTGGATGGTGACTTCTTTTGAGTGAAGATTTTCCGTTTTATCCTGAATAAATTTATTCTGTCATCTCTGGGTAACTGTATCAATCAAAATCAGTAAATTTTATGACATTTATCCACCATAATTACATAAATATTTTAAAAGTACGAGACTCCTGTTTTAAAACACTGTACTTTTAAGAGAAAATAGTAGTGTGTAATAATTAGGATCACTGGTTTGCTCCCAAGTAGAGATCAATAGAATACTGATTGTTGTAGAGATTTGTAATAATCTTTGCATAACTTTTTTGGCTATTTCTGATGACAACCATGGTTGTCAGAGCTGAATATATTTAACTCTGTAAATGACACTCTTTGCTAGCAAGGGTCTTTGGTACTGAAACATCCAAGAGACCATTTGTTTTAGAACTTTAGGAAATATTTTTAACGTTAATTTTGTACCTGTCATTAGATGACTGTAAAAGTTCATGAAAATAAGGCTATTTGCTACAAGGCAAAAGCAGTACTCTTAACTGCTCACTGCTGTTCCCTTATCGTGGAAAAAATGGGGATGTCTGACCAGTTTTAAAATAATTTGACCACCACCTAAATGTTCATTATAAAACTATTCCCAGTTGCCATAAAGGACATTTTTTATTCAGATAGTTCAAAAAACATGATCCGGGTGTGTTTGTGAACGTGCAGCGTCAATTTCGAGTTTCTGGACATTTAACAAGGACATTTAACCTTTTGATCTTTACTCCAAAAAAGCCATATTGCTCCTGCCAAATCTTTCTTCTGTCTGCTCAGAGGACGCAAGGGGTCGCCCCTCTCCCAGGATTGCAGGAGCAACCAAGCTGCATAGTCAAGTGAAGCATCAGAGGCGACAGCAGCAGTGTTACCTCTTTCCAGACCCACTCCCATAGAATCACTGGAATTTCAGCTCCGGTCCCCTGATGTCCTCTTTCATCCTCTCAACACAACCAGAGGGCGCCTTTGACTTGGCTTTGGGGTGATCCGGGCACAGAGAAAAGCCATCTCCTTCAGACTTCACACATCACTCCTCTAGTCCCAGCCCAGATGTGCGCACCCAGAGTCCCCCCACCCCCACCCCCGGGTCTGGTCCTCCCTGGGGGAGATGAGAAGGAACGCACAGCAAGTTTTCTTTGCGTTCTTTTGTTTCCTTTAGAAACAGAAGCCATCCAGCTAGAAATCCAGGTACCAGTGCCACACTGATGCATAGAATCCTTCCAACCCTGGCTCCTGGGTGGGGATGGGGGACACTGCGAGGTTGGAACGTACTGTGATAGGCGGATTGGCATAAACTATGCGAGGCAAGAAGCTGAGTTTCTCCTGGCTTCGGATTCCCCACTGGCCCTGAAACGAATTTCCCAGTGGACCTAGCTAGTTTGCCTGGGGTGGCATGAGGACCTCTGCTCCCCAGGCCTCTGCTTCCATGCAGCAGCTTCAGGGCCTGAGCGATAGACTGGATAGACTGGGTGGGAGGGTTGCATAGAATACAAACCACTCAGAGGCCAAGAATAATAAATCGAATGCCCTGACATGTTTAGTTTAGGCCCTCCTGCGCTGAGACGGGATCCTAGAGGCAGTGGGGCCAACTCGACCCCGAGCCTCTGGAGCTCTCGCCCAGCCACGATTTTTAAAGGGAATTTTCAGGTGAATCAAACTTTGTTTGGCCTGGGCTTAGCGGTACAAAGGGAGCTTTCAGGGGACCCTCACATCCAGGGCCATGGAGGGACAAACAGTGGCGGGAGGCGATTACTAAGTTTCCACCCCACACAAGTGTTGTTGTGTCCCGAGAGCTGCAGGCGTTTTGCGGGCTGGACTCTTGAGAAGAGATCTCATCCGGAGACCAGACAAGGTCGTAGGCTGACCGGCCAGAACAGCTTTCCTGGGTGATGTCAGTTAGTTCCCCTTACTAGCTAGCTCTTGGCTCCTGAGCCCTCCACCAAGCTAGGGTCTTCCTTAACTCTGCGAAGGGACTCCCCTCCCGGGCACCCACAGCAGAGCTGCGCGCCAGGCCACCCGGGAACAAATAGAGAAGCCACCTCGCATTCATTTCTTCATTTCTTTCAGAAGCTCTGAAAGATGCCCGCTTGCCTCAGACTAACTTTGGTGTAGGCTGCCCGGACCGTCCCATTTCATTGCAGAGGGCACGGTTTCACACAGCCACCAGTGAACACACTCCTAGGTAATTGGGTAAAGAGCAACGAGGAGATGAGCTCAGTGGGGAGCTCCGTTCTCAGTACGTGCCTGTCTCAGGGCACCCACTGGAGAGAATCTGAGATAGCCACAGCGTTCACGTGGGCCAGACAAGGCAAGAAGGTCACCGGGGATTCCAAACCTCCGGGGTTCCTCTGCTTTCAGCCCCCGGAGCCTGGGACCTGGGTAACTCCGCAGACAGTCCTGGAAGCCCCAGCGCCCCGGCGCCCCAGCGCCCCCGCGCCACTCTACTCACTCGTGCGCGCGTCGTGGGAAGCGGCAGCGCAGGCGCTTGCTCACTGATCCCCCCACCCCACTGGACACTCCCCAGGATGCTTGTCTTGACTACCATAAAGCAGCCTTGGGGTCCAGCCAAAGTTCCCCTGAGCCAGGCAGCAACTTGCGGTGTGCCGGTGTCGCGTTGCGCCAGTATCAAGCAACCCGAAGGCAGGGCGGGCGTCCCAGCTGCCTGGGGCTCTAGGCCTCCGTCGGAGCCTCAAAAGGAAAACATAAATCCCTAGAGCGAATCTAAGCAAGAAACGAACATTTCCAGATCCCGAATTACAAGGGGGGCGGGAGCCAGCCCAGTGCCGGGTGCACAGACTCCAGCCCTGGTTTGAGGACAGCCAGTGCCCGAACTGTTATCTCCTATGGGAGGCATAGGATGTAGGCTGGAAGGGCTATTTCCTCTGGCAGCTGACTCGGGGGGGTGGGGTGGGCGACCCCGACAGGTGAAAGAGGTGGAAGGGAACAAATGCTTAACACAAACCAAACCAACAACAACAACAAAAACCCCAACCCCAAAACCAAACCCTGCACTTACTTCTTCGCTGGCGCCTTCCCCGGGAGGCGTTTTGGCTGCCAATGTATTCCATAAAGTTCAAAATGATAAAAAACCAAGAAATCAGTCGCAAGTGCATAGTAACCCAGTAATGTTTCCCTTCTTTCTCTCCTTTTGACTGATAGTTATATTTAATGTTTTTTAAATATGTATATATATATATATATAATATGTAGGTTTTAGGCTTGTCTATACGGAGCGGTGGAGAACCAGGGCAGCGGGACTTCTCCACTGAGATCCAACAGGCGTGCTGTGATGGCAAGCGAAACGGGGCGGGTGGGCAGGGAAACCAGCAATTGCATTCTCAAATTGTCCGAACACAGCCGGCTGCTCTGAGGTGGCTGTCATCGCCGCGAGCGAAGGTTGCAGGAGCCTCCCGGCTGGCGGCAGGTTAACCTCGGTAACTCTGCGGCGGTGGCCGCGGGCAGGATTCCGGCGAGCAGTAGCCCCTGGGGCTCAGAGGCTGTGGCGGCTGTGGTAGTGGCGAGGACCCCGGGAGCGCAGGGGAGCAGACGCCGTGGGTACCGTGGCCATGGCCAAGGGGCGCTGGAGAGATCAGAGCTGCTTCTGGCGTTCCCGAGCAGGAGCCGCTCCAGTGTTGGGCAGGGCTGGGAGCACCCCATTCGGGAGGAGGGGGAGGGAGGGGGAGAGGGGGATGGCTGCAGGGGGGCGGGGGAGCTGGGGGGGCGGGGAAGGAAACTGCCGGAGCAACAACCCCGAGCGACCTCAATAACTTTCAATTTCAAGAGGGAAAGAGGGAGCTGGAAAAGTACAGGCGTTGCGATTTGGCAGAGGGACGGGAAGAGGCGCCTAAGGGGTCCCGGGTCTGTGGCTGAGCATCTCTGGACACTGCAAAGACTGCCGGAGAATGGGAGCAGGGTTGGGGAGGCCCTCGACGGGATAATTCGAGCCGGGTGATGTGGGCGCACTGGGACTGGGTGTGCTGAGGCTTCTGATCCAGCTGTTCCACGTCCCCCAGGCCCCAATGCTTCTGTTGTCCTCGGCCTCTGGCTGGGCGAACCACATCCTGGTGACCGCGTCCCTTGGCTTTCTAGAGACCCCGCCTCACTCCAGTAACTGGTCCTGGACAACCCGCCCCTCTTCCTCCTGTCCCTGGTTTCCTGGGATTTCTGGCTACAGATTTCTTTTCAAGCTGTCCTTAACATCTTGGGTTTTCTCTGTTGCTGTCTCCTTCAATCACCCCCTCCCTTAAATGAAAGTAGCTGAGGTTGGATTGGATGCTTGGCTGGTGGTCCCTGGGGATTAGGTAGGCTTTACCCCTCATCTTGAAGGTGCTTTGCCTGATCTCAAGGGGAGGACTCAGAGGTGTGTGCTTTGGGGACCTTCTGGATAGAAAAGCTATTGTACAGAGGCTTTCTTCCAAGCCAGCCTCTGCTGAGGCTCTGGAAGATTCCACCTCCCCTCAGGCACTCCCCCCCGCCCCCCCCGGTCCCCCCCCCCCCGTACTCAGTAGCCTGTTAGAAGCTCTCTTCTTGAGAGGATCTGTTGTACATTTTAGCTTCTCATCTGGGAGAATGGGAATACTATGTGGGAAGACTGTCCCCATTTGGGGGGAGTTAAACAAGGTCCATTTCTTGTTTCTGTTTCCAGAGCAAGTGGGGTGGGGGTGAAGGGCTCACAGCAGTAGCAGAAAAAATCCAGGTTCCCAGGCCAAAATGCCACCAGGGAAAAGACTAGGCCCTGAGGTGCTATCCACTGCTGGGTGACCAACATCTTCCCCAGCAGCACAAACCCTGAACTCTGAACTCTTTTGTAGTTACTGAAGCATTTTGTTGAAGATCACAAACCTCAAGGCATTTTTAATGTAAACCTGCCCCTAGAGTACTTACTAATAGTATTCGGAAGGATTTTTCTGCAGTGTCGAAGTTTTATGTAACACTGGTTTGCAAGCAGATCACTTTGAAAACAAGTAAGATCTGCAGGGTTGTCTTTAATTTATCTGTCCACAAATTACAGGAGAAGACAAGGTCATAGCCCCTACCTGTCCCATTTTGTAATCTTTCAAAGCAACCCAGGTTACAGATCTCTGGAATCTTTTACCTGTGTGTTTGTTATATGCCACAAAATTGGGATTGAGGAGATCCAGTGGCCTGGATACAAAAGTCAGGGAACTTCCAATAGGCATTCTTTGCAAAGCTTCAAAACACAGAATCAAGGAGGCTGGCCCTTTTCTGTTAAGTCTTTATTAAATGTCTATTTATTAAATGTCTACTTGTATTGGAAATTTGAAAGCATACTATCTTATGAGTTTGATATAAGCAGTAGACCTGTAGAGAATATGTGTGTGTGTGTGCTTTTTTTTTTACTTGTTCCTTAAGAATTCCCATTTACCACACAGTTCCTTTTTCTGTGTGTCCCACAAGTAGTAGGAGCTACATCACACACACACACACACACACACACACACACACAGAGAGAGAGAGGGGGGGGGGATGGGTAGGTGGGAGGCATTCTCCGTTCTTTATTGTATAACATCTACTGATAAATGACAGAGTTTATCACTCTGGACTAGTATAGTTACAGATGCCCACTCGGTTCCAATAGTGATTCTCTGGCAAAGAAGCCACTGTATTCCTCTGTGTCTGTCCCCATCAACTTTTTGTTCTTTCTTGCTTAATACCCCAAATCCAGAATATCTGCATCATAAAATGTGGGGGATTTAAAAGCTATGGGAGGCTCCTTTGAAAAGGACTCCAGAGACAGCCCTTCTAATCCAGGATACTTGAGCAGGATGGGATGAGACTGCAAATGGCATATAAAAAAGTAATTTGGTGAAAAAGTTAAGGGAAATAAGCATCCAGAGAGACACCCACTTCTCATCGTGTGCTATGCGGTCATATGTGCCTTCGGATGAGAACAGGAATGACAGTATAAGTAAATAAACAAATCCAGTGAGCAGCTACGGTTCTTGAGCCATCCCAGAAAAGAAGTGTTAGACGCAGTGGGCAGGAAAAGCTTGTCAAGGAACAAGCACCATTCAGAGGAAACATAAGGAAAACATTAAATAAATGGGGAGAGCATTCTTTTTTTCTTGACGCTCTGCTTTAGAATAACTTACTTTTTCCCTCTTTGGTCCATGTTACCTTAGTATTAAATGCTTATTTACTTGCCTGGCTGAGTCTTACATTCCCTCAACTGTCCCAGAAGCTTACAAAAGGCATGCCATGGACTATTTTGTGCAAAACAGTACCTATTTTTTCCAATTCAGTAAAGAAAACAATGCTCACAGAAGCTGGCAGTGCCTCTCAGAGCTCCGGACTAAGGCAAGTTAAAATCCATGGGTGCAGTACCGAGTTTGAAACTTTCTTCTGATTTTACCATTTGTCATATGAAACTGGGATTAAGAATTGGCGACTCAGGGCAAAAGAATAGTGTGGGTTTGGGTAAACACGGGGAGATAAATGCACCCAGGATCTGCCTGTAATTTCTCATCTTTCCTTACTGCCTCCTCCAACCAGGCAATGACAACAGTAAGAAGTTATTTTTATCCACTGCAGCAGTGGCACTTTAAGGAACACAAGTGATTGCCTTATTGTTGAATCCATACAGCAAATATGTGGAAGGGAGCTTGCTCCAGAAAGAGAGAGAAAACCTAAGAGTCTGGAATGGGGTACAGCTTGTAGCGATGAGAGATGTTTGGCAAAGTTGGAACTGACATCAGTCATTATAGCACAGAGCTAATATGCAGACTTGGAAAACACTCTGCTCTCCAGTCATCCTGATCTGGATGCATGTGAGTGAGTAAATCAAGCAGGGTACTTCTGGCAGGGTCTGGTGGTTACTAATGTACCCAGAAGCCATCTCAGAAACATGGAGCTGATAGATTATATAAAAGCCATTGAAATAAGTAGGTGATGTCAAACCACTATTTTAGACAGAGATAGAATTATTAGGCCACTTTAAAAAGTGACTCAGTGGTCTATAGCATTAAGAAAACGAGAAAATGAAGATATACAGTAGATAGAGGAGTGTCTATCAACACTTAGGAATGTTGCTCCTCCTAGATGAAGCTAGGTGACGTTTTCAAAATTGTGTTGAACACTGTCCAGTGTGTTTTTTATTTTAAAACTACTTTTTCTCATGACATCATTTTACTGAATGGTTCAAATTTAACTGAATCAACAGTATACACTATAAAGAATGTAACACCTCAGAAAACTTTGCTTGATAAAAAAGTTTTAGTGTCAAGAAACTGTTGTTATAAAAAAGCGCAGGTTTGGTAATCTGGGTACCACTGTGAATCCTGGCTCTGCATTTTTATTATCTATGTGTTTCTCCATTTGAAGAATCAAGAAAATCAAGCAAGTGAGTTCTAATGACTCTGGGATGCACGAAAAGTAATGACAATACCTACAAAACAGAGAGACAGGCTCGTAATTCTAAATGTGGAAGCTATTTCTAGCCGTATGACATCACAGTTAGCACTTACAGAGTTGTGTTTAATTGAGTAGGTCCAGATTTAGAAATCTGCTTTTGAATGCATCCCTTTGCTGGAAATGCCTAGCCCTTTACAAGAATCCTGAATGACTTCGGTCCAGCAAAGATGAATCCAGGACTGGTTTAATCTGTCTCCATAGACTTGGGATCTCAAGCAAATGTACATCTCAAACCCTAAATTCTAGGGGAATTCTCCTAGGGAAAGCAGAGAAAGGAACTCCTACAATTTGAGGAGTCACTGACCCATCTCAGCTTGATTTTGTGACTTCTACAGAAGGGAGAAAATAGGCTCTACTGAGTAGGAGATTCTCTTTTCATTTCATGCCACTTTAACTTTTCAGAGAAGAGGAAATGTATTCTTTTACCCCCCCCCCCACTTATGCCTATGATTTCATAAGGATGTATAGCTGTATTTCCTTTGTTCCTGGAGACGCTTCAGAAGGTTCACAGTAAAGCTTGAGTGACTGTGCTCACACCTTTAGGCCGACAAATTGCTACTAAAGACACAGAAGTATTGTGCCATATGGAAGTCTATAGGAGAAGGGATGGTAATGAGAAAATTGACCATTACACTGGCATGTACCATTTAAGAACAGATATCCAAGAACATAATTTCCAGGATGAGACATCTGGGACCAGAAAAACAAAGTCA